CAGACAGCATTAGCAGGTTTTATACAGAACTGACTCAGTAACACAAAGATGCCTCCCATCGCCAAGAAGCGATCATGGTTTTTGAAAATCTAAATCAATAGCAGCCACAAAGTACAATTTATCCATTTGTGCATTGAGCAACAACAATTTCCTCTCTCCTTTGAACTGGCCTCTTGCATGTCAGGAGTGGGGATTTGGGAAGAAACTGAAACAGACTGGATCGTAAATTAGAGAATAATTATAAGAGGAAGAACAGAAGGACTCTGTAGCAAAACATGGTCCAGACAGAAAAATAGTGGTGAGCTAACTCTAGAGGTATCACAAGGTACAAGAACCAAACAAACACCCTAGCATGCTCACTTTGGGCATGACAAGCCCCTCTATCATCAGTGAGGCTTATACCACCCTCTGTACTGTGTACACCAGAATTACACGCAGAACAACTTAAAAACTGGATTCTGCAGAGAGGCAAAAACTTTTTTAGCAGATCTCTATCACAGCAGCAGTCAGACTAATATTCTTATTTGATCTGCAAAGGTGACACCAAGAAGACAATCCATTTAAAAACACTTCTCTGTGGCATTGCTAATGCTTAACAGGACAACAAACACTTGTACAGGTTTCGCTAGACAGCAAACATTTGTACAGGTTTTGCTGGACAGTGTCACTGCCAGACGATCCCCACCCTGTAGAAAGGCAGACATGCACATGCCTTCCATCTCCATGCATGCAAGACCCCAGCCAACAAACTATGCTGCAAAGTAATGTAAAGAGGCACAATACGGCAGCCACCATGGTGAGAGAGAGTTGCTTCGTCTGAAGTCAGGCAGAAGGCAGGGTAGAGATGCCCCTAACTAACTACCATCACAAAGAAGCCCGGCTGGAAGGGACCTGCAGAAGTCACCTAGTCCAGCCTGAAGCAGCATCAGCCCTATCCCAACCATGATATAAATGTAGATACATTTAAAGCCAAAATACAACATGCTAGATCGCTAGAGGGACACATTTAAAGCTACTTACACTCGAATATAGCTTCAGCTCGCACACTATCCAGACCCGTCCCTGCAACTGGCATATGGCCCTTGGAAAGAAAAGCTCCCAAAGCAGCCTTGAGGACCAGCGCCACAGGACGGCCCCGCACATCTACCGACCGGCTTTCCTCAACATCACAGCCCAAGCCTTCCTGCTCTGCGTCTCCGGGAGAGAGAGAAAAATCATTAGGCTGTTGAATATTTTATGCTCCATCCCGCCCTGACTGAGCGTCACAGTCCTGGCTCGGCTGCTGGTGCGCTCGGGGGTCCTTACCCCCTCAGGACGGAGGAGGAGGCGCTGCGGGCCGGGGGGGAGGGGAGCGGAGCCCAG